TATCATTCATTCCTTCATTCAACAAGTATCTTGGGCAACTGCCACAGGCCGTGTAATGTTCTCGGAGATGGAAATGCAACAGTGGACAATATAGTGTTTGCCCTCATGGAGATTCCAGGCTAAAGAAAAAGACAATATCAGGAAGTGGTCAGTGCAGGATGAGGGGATGAAAGTGACGAGGGGGACTATTTGGGGACAGGAGTGTCAGCAAACTTTCTTCCCCCTGCCCACCCCTCTTCAGCAAACTTTTTTCCCCATCAGAAAACTTTTTTTTTTAAAGAAACTTTTTTCTTTTAAAGATTTTATTTATTTATTTATTTGACAGAGAGAGAGAGAGCACAAGTAGGCAGAGAGGCAGGCAGAGGGAGAGGAAGAAGCAGGCTCTCCACTGAGCAGGGAGCCTGATGTGGGACTCGATCCCAACCTGAGCCGAAGGCAGCCACTTAACCGACTGAGCCACCCAGGTGCCCTCATCAGAAAACTTTTTGATCCCTGCTCATCTGAAAGCTGAAAAATACCATCATGCAATTCTACTTTGCATTCCTGTTATGAGTGATTATTTTTTCAAATGCTTTAAGACATTGCTGTATTTTCTTTTACGTGAATTGCCATTTATATTGTTTTACCTGTTTTTCTGTTGTTAGTCTTTGTCTTCTGCATTTGTGGTTCTTTAATAAGAAATTAGTCCTCTGGAATATAATTTGCAAATATTTTTCTCAATTTGTCATTGTATATTGACTTAATGATTTTTTGCTACATATTCTTTCTTTTTTTTTTAAAGATTTTATTTATTTATTTATTTGGCAGAGAGAGAGACACAGCGAGAGAGGGAACACAAGCAGGGGGAGTGGGAGAGGGAGAAGCAGGCTTCCCGCAGAGCAGGGAGCCCGATGCGGGGCTCGATCCCAGGACCCTGGGATCATGACCTGAGCCGAAGGCAGACGCTTAACGACTGAGCCACCCAGGCGCCCCTACATATTCTTTCTTTATGCAAGTTTTCACCCCTTGTTCTTTGAAAGTAATACATTCTCGGGGCGCCTGGGTGCCTCAGTTGTCAAGTGTCTGCCTTCGGCTCAGGTCATGATCCCAGGGTCCTGGGATCGAGCCCCGCATCGGGTTCCCTGCTCCGCGGGAAGCCTGCTTCTCCCTCTCCCACTCCTGCTTGTGTTCCCTCTCTCGCTGTGTCTCTGTCAAATGAATAAATAAAATCTTTAAAAAAATAAAATAAAGAAAGTAATACATTCTCTTGGAAGTTACCCTTAAATTTTCAACACATATATCTAACTTAAGTCTAATATTTCTCATTATCTGTATGCCTATTTTTATTTTATTTTTAATATTTTTCTAGTGAAATGCCACAATTTTCATTATTCGGTGGCACACGTTGTGCTTTGACTCATATCGTTTCCTCCAAGTTCATCTGGGAAGGGTGGCCATTTGCTGGGAGACTGCACAAAATATGGAACGCTTCACGAATTTGTGTGTCATCCTTGAGCAGGGGCCATGCTAATCTTTCTGTATCATTCTGATTTTAGTATATGTACTGCTGAACGAGCACTGTATGCCTACTTTTTAGTTTATTTTTAATTTTTTTAGAGAGAGCGAGAGAGCAGGGGAGGGGCAAAGGGAGAGGAAGAGAGAATCCCAAGTAGGCTCCACACCCAGTGTGAGCCCCATGCAGGACTCGATCTCACCACCCCAAGATCCCAACCTGAGCCAAAATCAAAAGCGGGTCACTTGGGGTGCCTGGGTGGCTCAGTTGGTTGGGTGTCTGCCTTCCACTCACGTCATGATCCCGGCGTCCTGGGATCGAGTCCCACATCGGGCTCCCTGCTCAGCGGGGAGTCTGCCTCTCCCTCTCCCTCTGCTGCTCTGTCAAATAAGTAAATAAAATCTATATATAAAAAAAAAGTGGGTCACTTAACTGAGCCACCCAGGTGCTCCTGCCTATTTTTAATATAAAATGAAAAATACAGGGCGCCTAGGTGGCTCAGTCGTTAAATGTCTGCCTTTGGCTCAGGTCATGGTCCCGGGGCCCTGGGATGGAGCCCCACATCAGGCTCCCTGCTCGGCGGGAAGCCTGCTTCTCCCTCTCCTACTCCCCCTGCTTGTGTTCCCTCTCTCGCTGTCTCTCTCTGTCAAATAAATAAATAAATAAATAAAATGAAAAATACTGGGGCACCTGGGTGGCTCAGTCAGCTAAGTGTCAGATATTAGGTACTCACCTTTCACTTTTATTGTACACCGTACAGTATTTTCACAGGGACTTGCTAAAGGATTTAAAAGGTTTTTATCTTTTGGAGGAAAAAAATCTAATGTTGACCAAAATCTCCAAACTATAGGTAAAATATAAGGACCTTACAACATTTTCACTTAAGTCATTATACTCCCATTTAGGTCACAGCAGACACTCCTCTGCAACTGAAGGATGGAATGATTAAATGCGAGGAATTTATTAAATAAGAGAAAATGTCCTTCCAGAAATAAACCCTTATATTTATGATCAAGTGATCTTTTTCTTTTTTTTTTTTTTTAATATTTTATTTGAGAGAGAGAGCACAAGCAGGGGGAGGCACAGGAGAGGGAGAAACAGACTCTCCACTGAACAGGAAACTCGATGTGGGGCTGATTCCAGGATCCTGGGATCATGACCTCAGCCGAAGGCAGACATTTAAGTGACTGAGCCACCCAGGCACCCCCTTTATTTCTTTTAAGTAGGCTCCATGCCCAACGTGGGGTTTGAACTCATGACCCTCAGATCAAGAGTCCCAGGCTCTACCAACTGAGCCAGCCAAGCACCCCTATGATCAATTGATTTTCAACAAAATTGCCAAGACAATTCAAATAGTGAAATGGTCTTTTCAACAAATGGTGTTGGGACTAGATATACACATACAAAAGAATGAAGTTGGATCTCTACCTTCAACCATATATAAAAATTAATTTGGGGACCTGGTTGGCTCAGTTGGTTAAGCATCTACCTTCGGCTCAGGTCATGATCTCAGTGTCCTGGGATCGAGCCCTGCAATGGGCTCTGTGCTCAGCGAGGAGTCTGCTTGTCCCTCTGCCCCTCCACCCACTGTGCTCTCTCAAATAAATAAAATCTTAAGAAAAAAAATAACTCAATATGGACAAACCATAGACCTAAATGTAAGAGCTAAAACTATAAAACTCTTAGCAGTATACACAGATGTCAATCTTTGTGATCTTGGATCAGGCAATGGTTTCTTAGATATGACACAAAAAGCACAAGTGATGAAAGATAAAGATACACTGATTTCATCAAGATTAAAACTTGTGCTTCAAAAGAGATCTTGAAGAGAATTAAAAGATGGTCTGCTGAATGGGAAAAAATATTTCCAACTGATGTATCTGAAAAGGGATTTGAGTCTAGAATATATTTTAAGAACTCTTACACTGATACCAAAGCTACACAAAGACATTATAAGAAAAGAAAATTACAGACCAATATCCCTTACAAATATTGATAGAAAAATCCTCAAAAAATACTAGCAAACCAAAGCAGCACATTAGAAGGGTTATACACTATGACCAAGTGGGATATATTCCTGGAATATATATATATCTCTCTCTATGCTCAGCAGTGAGTCTGCTTCTCCCTCTGCCTCTGTGCTCCCTCTCCCTTTGTGCTCTTTCTCTCAAGTAAATAAATAAAATCTTTAAAAAAATAAACTGACAGGGGCGCCTGGGTGGCTCAGTCGGTTAAGCGTCTGCCTTCGGCTCAGGTCATGATTCCAGGGTCCTGGGATCGAGTCCCGCATCGGGCTCCCTGCTCAGCCAGGAGCCTGCTTCTCCCTCTCCCACTCCCCCTGCTTGTGTTCCCTCTCTCGCTGTCTCTCTCTGTCAAATAAATAAATAAAATCTTAAAAATAAATAAATAAACTGACATAGAATAAAATGCAAACAAATTTTAAGTGTGTATTTGCTGAGTGTTGACAATGCTTACACCCAAACCTCTATCAGGATATAGAACACTACCATCACCCAACAAAGTTCCCTTCCTGGTTAAACCCATCCCCATCCCGCCAGAGACAACTCCTTCTCTAATTGTGTCCCCACCACAGATTCATTTACCCTGTTATAAAATGTCATATAACTGGAATCCTACAGTGTGTATCCTTCTGTCCACGGCTTCTTTCATTCAGCCATAATCTCTTTGAGTAATGCTTCTTTCAGTTCTTCAATTCTTGAATTCAGAGCTGGGAGAGTGCTCCCACACCCAATACAGTACCTGAGAAAGCTCAGAAATAGCTCCTCAATAATGTTACCTGGATTAGTTTCCCATTGCTACTATAAGAAATTACCAAACTAGGTGGTTTAAAATAACACAAATTTATTATCTTACAATTCTGTAGGTCAGAAGTCTGAAAATAGGTCTTACAGGACTAAAATCAAGGTGTTAGCAAGGTTGCATTGCCAATCTCTAGAGGAGAATCCTTTCCTTGCCTTTTCCAGCCTCTAGAGGCTGCCCAAAGTCCTTGGTTTGTGTCCCCTTTCCAGCAATCCATCACTCCCATTTTTGTTGTCCCATCTTTTTCGACTTTGATCGTCCTGCCTCCTCCCTCCCATTTTTTTTGTTTACATAAATTAACTCATTATTATAGGCTAGCAATGTTTCAAATGAAAAAAATTCCTTCAGTCTTCTGATGGACAACAGAAGCGGTCTTGTAGGTCCAGGTACCGCCACCTATCATTCTCATGCAGGAACCACAATGCCAGATCGTCACAGCTCATGTTTTCATCTTTGGTTTGCCACAGAAGGAGCAAAAATGTACTTGGAGTGCTGGCTTATTTCAATTTTTTTTTTAAGATTTTATTTATTTCAGAGAGTGAGAGAGAGAGAGAGAGAGAGCATGAGTGGGGGGGTAAGGAGCAGAGAGAGAGGGAGAAGCAGACTCCCCACAGAGCAGGCAGCCCGATGCAGGGCTTGATCCTGGGACTCCAGGACCATGACCTGAGCTGTAGGCAGATGCTTAACTGACTGAGTCACCCAAGCGCCCCTTATTTCGATTTTCTTCATCATTTTCCTGACAGAGGCACCACAATGGGTCCTGTATTTACTGACAATTCTGACCTTCTTGGTGCATTTTAGCCATGTCGCTGCAAACTAGCTCCAAGCCCAGAGGAGCCTCCCGTCTCCCTTTTATAAGGATCTTTGTAATTACATTGGACACGCTGGTATTCAAGATAGTCTTCCCATCTGAAAATCCTTAGCTTGATCACATCTGCAAAGTCCTGTTTGCCAATATAACATATTCACAGGTTTCAGGGATTAGAACATGGACATCTTTGGTGTCCATTACTCTGTCTGCCATGTCACCTGAATAAATAAAAGACCTTAAAACCATGCTTCTCAAAACTGGGCAGCTTGAAGATACAAAATAAATATATCTTCTGGATATATCAATGCTTCTTGTAGATTTGGGAGAAAATCTTCTTTGAATCAGCAATTCTGCTTCTAGAATTTCATTCTACAGACATGCTAATATATGCATCTAAAGAAGTATATCTAAGGATGTGATTGCAGTATCTTAGGGTAGTTAAGACTGGAAACAAACTAATTGCTCATCAACAGAAAATGAACTAAATAAACGTTTTATCCATACAGTGGGACACTATGTATGCAGCCATTAAAAAAAGCAATCTATATGTGCTGAAATTAAACAATCTACAAGATGTATCAAGTGAGAAAAGAAAGCAAAGTGAACAGTGTGTTTATTATGCTACTTGTGAAAAGAAAAAAAAAAAGGTATGTTTTTATGTACCTAAATTATCTCCAGAAGGACACAAGAAGCAGGTTGCCTCTAGGAAGGGGAAGGAAGACTAGAGGGAGGAGACTTTTTTTTTTTAATTGAAGCATAACACACATACATAAGTGTGCAGGTTAATTTTCACAAACTGCACTTCCGTGTAACCAGCATCTAGATCAAGAAACAGAATGTTATCAGCACTCTACAAACAAAAAACTTGCATTAGTAATAGCTTGGATTAGTTTTACCAAATTTTATATTTTATATAAATGGAATCACATATTACATATTATTTTGTGTCTGGCTTCTTTTGCTCAACACCATGTCTGCAAGATTCATCCACATTATGCTTGTAATTCTATATCATTCATTCTCATTTCTGAGCAGTATTCTATGAATAGTATTCTGTAAATAGTATTCCCATGAATATTCCACAATATTTTAATTCCTTTTTCTACTGTTGTGGATAGTTTCTGGGTTTTGGCTATTGCAACTAGTGTTGCTGTGAACATTTGAGCACATGTCTTTCAGTAAACATATGTATGCGCTTTTGTTGGGTAGACAGGGAGGAGTGGTATTGCTGTGTCATAGGTATGCATATATTTAGCTTTAGTAGATACTGCCAGTTTTCCAAAGTAGTTGTACCAACTTACGCTCCACCTACAGTGTAAGAGCATTCAACATTTGCAAATCTTACTTTTGACTATGCATTCTATTGAATGTGGTTATATTATGAAATAGAATGCATAGTCACATGAATTGTAAAGCTATACTATGTCTTCAAAGTGGTTTCACTGTGGGGATGGTCAGCTTTTTTGTTATATCTCTAGAACTTTCCTTCGCTGCTCCTATATTAGTTGGAAAAGTCTGAAAAACAGATTAAGAGATGATCTGATTCGTTTCCCAGTTTTATTACTCATTTATGAGCTGTAATTTAAACACAAGTTTTCCGATTGAGACAGGGTACAGTAAGCACTTAGCTAAGCCTTAACACTTAGCTGAACCTAGAAGCCAGAAAATAACTTTGAATCTGGCTCTGCCGCCGGTGTAGTCACCTAGGCTTTCTGTTCCTCAGCTGCTGCGTCTGTGAAAGACAAGACATCTGTGACCTCGGGCCATGGGCCAAATCAAATACCGGTAGGAACCGGGGTAGCATTGCCCTGAGTACCCAGAGCAGGCGGGGACGGGCCATCCCTCACTTCCAACATCTCCAGAATCGGCCTCAGTCTTAGCCCGTCGGCTTTTACTCACCTCCAAGCCCGGGACATCGGCATCTGCTCGCAACAGGTCTCATGTAGTAGTAAAAGGGAGTAGCTCCAACCCGTCAAAACCTCTTTTTTTAGGACCTGTCCGGGAAAAGCCAGGTGAAAAGAGAGCCTACTGCCCCCTCAGCGCCCGCCACCTTCAGACCACTCGCTCCCTTCCCTTCAGCCTTTCAAATAGGCCGCTCCGGCATGACCAATCACAGCCTTCCTTCTTCCCCAGTCCACCCAGCGCTGTCCAATCAACGCACGTCATCTACGGTTGGTTGCGCTGCGGCTCCAACCTCCCTTCTGGTTTTCCCCTTGGTACCTAACGGCAGACAGGAAAGGCAAGGGAGGTTGAGGCTGGAGGGACGCCATGTTGGTCAAGGGCAGTGCTCTGGCCCTTAAGGACTTTTTCAGAAGACAGGAAGGCTCTAGCGTTTCCACATGTTCCGGAAGCCTTTCTTGGCGTAGCCCTGGAGAGCTTGCCCATGGCGCCGCCCGTGGCCCGGCTCCCGGCGGATGTACCCGGGGAGGCCGGGAGCGGGCCGACGAGAGAAAGCAGCCCCGGGGCCGTGAGCTTCGCGGACGTGGCCGTGTACTTCTCCCCCGAGGAGTGGGGCTGTCTGCGGCCCGCGCAGAGGGCCCTGTACCGGGACGTGATGCGGGAGACCTACGGCCTCCTGGGCGCGCTCGGTGAGGCCCGGCGGTCCAGCCAGGACCCAGTAATCCGTGGGAAGGGGGGACTAACTGATGTCCCCAGAGACAAGTGGGCTGGAAGTGTGGGGCACTGGGGAAGCACCCTCATCCTCCCCTCTCGGGTTCTCAGCCGAACCCAATGTTTCCCTTCCACAGGATTTTCAGGTCCTAAACCCGCTTTTATTTCTTGGGTGGAAGGAGAGGTGGAGGCGTGGAGCGCGGAGGCCCAGGATCCAGAGGGTGAGACCCCAGCAGCTGTCATCAGAGACAGGGGGAAGATAACAGGTACTTCACTTCAAACCCAGTATGGGACCTTGGAGAACCCCCTCCCCCAACTCGGATCCACAGTACACACCGCCCCCTCCAAAGCCCCATCGTGTCTCCCTACACCTCATCTCCAGAAAGTTCCAGTGTCACTGCAAAATGGCTCATAGAAGAGCTAAATTGGGACTTATAGCACCACTTAATTATACAGGGAATCCTCAGTTTAGTGCAAAATAGTGCCTGAGTTGCCAGGGCAGCCAAAGGAAAGGAGAAACACATCCGTAATTTGGTTTTTGTTGTGTAATAAAATGAAGACAAATGTTCCTTTTGGATATTATGTGGTTCACACTGTAATGATAATGTCATTCATCAGCGATCTTAAAATCAAGAAAAGGTGTTTTCTCTGCAGCCATGTCATAATAAATGCTTGTTCCCAGGTCTTCCCGTGGAACCTGGAGTACAGTCCAAGTGTAGACATTTTGGCGATGGCCTTGAATGGCACCAAGGGAGATCATTTAATGGCTGTTTTGCAAAGGGATCATAAACAGGTTCAGGACTGTAAGCTCTATGAAGGCTGGGACCATCACCACCCTCATTGCCTGACAGAGTAGGGGTTCAATATTGTTGACACCTCCATTTATCTCCAGTTTTCAGAGCTTTCTTGTGTTAACACCAGCCAGACGATGAATTTTGCTTTTACTCCAGGGTGGCTTTCTGGGCTTGATGAGGCCCCCGTCTCAAAGACTGCCATATACTCAGACACTCATGCTGCCTCCCAGGGAAGGCCACTGTATGGAACGTGCTCGTGAGTTTCAAGTCTTATCTTTTTCCCTGTCTCAGGATCCAGGGATGAGAGTGAAGAGAAAGAAGAACTGAAGAAGAGTCCAAAGCGAAAAGAGATGGAGCATGAGGAAGTGTCTCTCGAGGAGTGGTTACCATCCAGCAGGCCACCTGGTGCCAATCACAGAGCCTCCTGCCCAGCGCTCTGCTGGAACTCAGGGCGGAGCCCAGTCAAGCCTTGGTTCAAGGATACCACGACCCGCAGATCACCCTACTCTTGCCCAGACTGTGGCCGCAACTTCAGCTACCCCTCCCTCCTGGCCAACCACAAGCGGGTCCACTCTGGGGAGCGGCCCTTCCCCTGTGACCAGTGCCAGGCTCGTTTCTGCCAGCGCAAGTATCTGCTCCAGCATCAGGTCATCCACACGGGTGAAAAGCCCTACTCCTGCCCTGATTGCGGACGACGTTTCCGCCAGAGGGGTTCCCTGGCCATCCATAGACGGACTCACACCGGGGAGAAGCCCTACCCATGCCCAGACTGCAAAAGCCGCTTCACTTACCCCTACCTGCTAGCCATCCACCAGCGCAAGCACACAGGCGAGAAGCCCTACAGCTGTCCCAGCTGTGGCCTCCATTTTGCCTACAGCTCCCTGCTGGCTATCCACAGGCGCACGCATACGGGCGAGAAGCCCTACCCCTGCCCAGACTGTGGCCTCCGCTTCACCTACTCATCTCTCCTCCTCAGTCACCAGCGCGTTCACTCTGACAGCCGGCCCTTCCCCTGTCCACAGTGTGGGAAAGGCTTTAAGCGCAAGTATGCCTTGGAAGCCCATCAGTGGATCCACCGCTCTGGCAAGAGGCCGAGGTGGCGGCGGCCTGCAGTAGGGCTCTCGGAGCCGATCCTTGTTTTGGGAGGCCAGGATCCCCCAGTTCATTTCCGGTACTTTCCAGATATATTTCAAGAATGTGGGTGATAGAGCTCACAAGAAATGTTTTCTTTGGAAGGGAAAAGGCAAAGTTTATGCATTTGGGGGATAAGGAATGGAAAGGAAATAGGCATTGAAGGAAAACAAAGCTCCGAGTTAAGGGAGCACAGAGCTGGTCCTTTGGAAGGAGGCAGGAATCTGAAAGGCCACCTGAAGGCTGACCCCATTTTCTGAGGCTCCTGCTCCCACTTCCAAGTCCCACTTGGGAGTTTCTTCCCAGCAAATCATTTACCTACCTGGCTTTCCCCCCCCCCCTTGGATTGTTCTCTCCATTAGAGCATTCTGCTTTCTGGCCTGTAACTCTCCTGTTCCTCAGAGATGGGGTCCCCACATGCAAGAACACACCTTGGGCCTATCCCCGGTGCGGCGGGGGAGCTCATCCAAGGATTCTTTTACCCAGTGCCGATGAGACATCTGGCAAGGAGACGCACGTGGTGTCAAGCCACTGTGGGCACTCTTTGGTCTTAAAATCTTGAAGGTGACCACAGGAAGGAGAACAATGGCTTCAGGTGGGGAACCATCCTGCCCCATGCTCACTCTGCACCTAGTGCACAAAAGTGTCAAGCTTAGCGTAAAGGTTTTTTTTTCCCCCCTCAAACTTTTATGAATTAGTGATTGCAGTGTTTTTCTCTTCAGATATTTGCATGTCGTCCGGATTTTACACCTCCTGAATAAAGATGTGTTTTTGGGCTACAGCAACTGGAAACATAACATTGGCGCTTCTATTTAAGAGAGTAAATTACTTGTGATTAGGCTTGAAATCAAGGCCAAGTATCTCCAGTGTAGTTTTTAGTGTAATGCTTGTATGTCTCAGCAGTTAAGAGGGGTCTTTCTGACCCACTTTGATCTCCTAGCCGTACTTCTGATCAGGAGACTATTGATGGAATAAGGATGTGGGTGGGACTAAGCACAGCTGCATGCCAGGAGTGGTCCTGGGGGACTCAGTTATCTCTGTGAACAAGAGACTGCTCTTGGAACCCCTGGGTTCCAAAGATGATTATGAATGGAAACTGGGTGTTATTTTACCACACCACACAGGCTCTCCTGAATTGGTAGACCTGGATTCCAGGTTTGGCTCAGTCCCCACTAGCTGTGGGGCCGTAAGCCTATCATTCAACCTTTCTAAGCCTTCATTGTCTCACTTGGCAACTCCACAGGGTTGTCTGAGATAAAACATGAAAGCACCTCACAGATCGTCGTAGTTTGACGAACAAGTGGCTGAGTGCCCCCATAACGTTTTATAACCTTTTTCGTTCAAAAGAGTTGTAAGAATTTTTTGGGAAACACTCACGCCCTTTCTACAATTAATCTAGATTCTATAATTGTGCTACATTTGCTTTATCACATGTCAATCGATGAATCCATCCCCTATCTGTTCATTTATACATCTTATTTCACAGTAAGTTGCAGGCATCATTATACTTCATCCCTAAACACTTCAATGGAAGGCTAAGCTTTATGCAAGAAACTTTAGCTCTCCCTTAAAATTCAAATACGCCGGGGCGCCTGGGTGGCTCAGTTGTTAACCGTCTGCCTTCGGCTCAGCTCACGATCCCAGGGTCCTGGGATCGAACCCCGCATCGGGCTCCCTGCTCCGCAGGAGGCCTGCTTCTCCCTCTCCCATTCCCCCTGCTTGTGTTCCCTCTCTCGCTGTGTCTCTCTCTGTCAAATAAATAAAATCTTAAAAAAAAATATA